ATCGAGCAGGCCTCTTTTCAGTTTTCTTGTTATGGCTGAGGAGTGTGGAGGGAAGCTACAGAGGAAGGTTGAAGGGCTAAGCAGTGGTTCATGAGGTTAGGAAAGAGTAATCCGTAACAAAGTGATGGTGAAGGGCGCACGTGCTGATGGAAGATTTGCAACAGAAACACAAAGTGAGCACATGCTGTTGGAAAAAATGGTGCCAATAAGCTTGCTCAAAAAAAGATTACCATAAACCTTCAATTGGTAAAAAAAAACAAAATATATGAAAAGTACAGTTAAATGAGGTATTCCTGTATTATTACTATCCTTAAAATGAGGAAATTCTACATACATAAAAGAAGAACAGAATGCCATATTTTCGAATGCTATGAAAACTCAGAGAACAGAAGAACTCTTAACAATTAAAACTATGGGCTGTGTGCAGTGGCTTATGCCTGTAATCCTAGCACTTTGGAAGGCTAAAGCAGGAGGATCACTTGAGCCCAGGAGTTCAAGACCAGCCTGGGCAACACAGCAAGACCCCAATTTCCAAAAAATATAATTAGTCAGGCATGGTGACACAGGCCTATAGTCCCAGCTACTCAGGAGCCTGTGGCAAGGGGATTGCTTGAGCCCAGGATATCAAGGCTGCAGTTTGAAGGGGTTCCTTTCAAAGGCCAAGTCTGCAGTAATTTGAGCATAAAAATACATGGTATCATGGATTATAATCATTTAAGTAAGAGAGGAATCCATGAGTCCATTCTGATTATAAATGAATAAATGAGAGGAAAAGGAAAGATTCTAATGTTGGAGGAATTTTTTTTAATTGCCATTTGGCAATAGTCATAATGATAATCCAGTCAAGAATAATCAATGGATGCAAAATCTGGGGGATAAAAGCTTGATGAACAATTGCATGACACACTTATTAACTTTATTGTGAAGAAACTACCTAAAAGTGACTAAACATCACCAGTAATGGGGCAAATTGACATTATGTGCCTCTTGATATGATGCACTGAGAAGAACGTAGCATTATTTCTGTAGTATTCCTGCCAAAAATGCGTAAATCATGAGGATAAATCAGATGGCCTAAATTGGAGGATAAACTCGAAGTAACTGCCCTATACTCTTAAAATAAATGTTACAGCCATGAAAGACAAGAAAGCATTCTGAGGAACTGTTTCAGATTAAAGGAGACAAAGAAACATGACGAATTCAACACATAATCCTGGATTGGCTCCTGAATAGAGGACATTATTGTGATAATCAGGAAAATTGTAATGGTGTCTGTGGATTAGGTAATACTGGATCAGTGTTATAATTTCCTGATTTTGATATTCATACTATAGTTATGTAGGAGAGTATCCACTTGTTTTGAGAAAATACAGAAGTTTTAAAGATAATGGGGCATCATGTCTTCAACTTATTTTCAAACAGTTCAGAAATATGAATTGATTCTGGATAATCTGCGGGAGGATGTATGGGAGCTCTGTATACAATTTCTGTAACTTCTATGAACATTTTAAATTATTTCAAAATAAAATTTCTAAAACTGCTTCAAAGTATTCCTGTTACTTCAGGTAGACAATAATTTATTATTAAAACGGTGTTTTAATCTTTGTTGAATAAGTTCCAAATCCACCTCTAAATCCAAATGCTCTACTCTATATCCATAAGGAGTTGTTATATCTATTTTAATATATGTACTTCTTCCCCTTTACATATGAAAGAAACTATAAGAGGCCCCAAGGAAAAGGAAGGGGTGATAACAAAAGAGAAATAAACAGTCCTTTTCATTGGTTAACCTTATAATTTATTAGAGTAGGGAATTAATACATTAAAGACTACCACCATTCTCTGTTAAATATAGATATCCTACAGAAATTAACTTGCACCATGTCTACAATCATATAGCCTTATTTTTAAAAGTAAAGTTACAGTCATCTCTTCGTATCTGTGGGGCACTGGTTCCAGGACTCTGGCCCCATCTCATACCAAAATTTTGAGATGTTCAAGTCCCTTGACATACTCTGCCTAAATGGTATAGTATTTTCACATAACCTACGCAATTCCAAATACTTTAAATCATCTCTAGATTATTTATCATACCTAATACAATACAAATGCTATGTAAATAGTTGTTATATTGTTTCAAACTTTGTTTTTTATTGTTGTATTGGTATTTAATTTTCTAATAATTTCAATCCACCGTTGGTTCAATCTACCAACGCAAGAACCCACAGAAAGCCAATTGTACTTTGAAATGACTTCTTTCTTAAAAGTTATATAAGGTCTTCTTTTCTTTTCTTTTTTTTTTTTTTTTAAGAGATGAAGTCTTGCCATGTCACCACAAGTATAGAAGTGTAGTGGCTGTTCACAGGTGCAATCATAGCACACTATAGCCTCAAACTCTTATGACTTCTTCTTATTCTTTTCCATAAGACCTTCTCGAGTTTTAAAAAAGCCAAATTAACAACAAAAAAGAGAAGTTCTTTTCAGTAATTCTAGATACTGTGGAGTTGTGGTTTCTATACCTCGTCATTTGCTGTCTATATATTACCTGGTCACATTAATTTTAAGTTACATAAAGGTAGAAGAGGTTTGAAAGGACACAGATTGTGACTGTAAATGTGAATCCATCAAAGTTAGGGTGGATTCTGTGTTGGAATATTAGCAACAGATCGCATACTTTTATTAAAGAAATGGGCCCAAGCAATCCTGCCTCAGCTTCCCACACAGAAGTGGACTACAGGAACATACCACTGTGGCCCGAGTGCTAATCTTCTTAATCACTGTTCTTTGCTACCCACTAACTCAATACTCCTCTTGCTCAATATTCCTCTGAATTTATTAGCTCCGCATCAGAGTTACTGCCAGCTGCCTTTGCAACCAATCAGCAACTGCCCCATCTTGCACTCTACCTATTATTGCTCTGACATCACAAAGATCATGGCTATTCTTTACCAGCTGAAATTATTAAACTCATTTTAAAAATCTAATTTCCAATAGGCTTCTGATTTTCCATCAGGTAATTTCTTGACAAAGAATAATCTAAACCAAACAAGACCTCAGTATCTGCCTTTCTTTATGATGTCTTACTTCAAACCAATTTTAAAATCCTTTTGTGATGATCTTGTGCATGCTCCAAAAGAGATCATTCTTCATATGTAGCTTACCCTTGATATATGTCCTTCCTTCTAACTGCCTTTTTAGCCTCTGAGCCAAGAGAGCTATCTAACCAGTAAAATCCAGTTTTGTTTTTTTATTTTTAAGACAACTCTTTCCTTCTCATTGAGATCATTAGAAAGGTTTTCTTTTGGTTTAAATATATTTTAGATGTTATTGTTTCCTCTGTACATGTCTCTCATTCAGAAAGTCACAATCACATTTATAGTTTCTGGTTATGAATCATACATATCTTTGCTCTGGCCAAATCTACTTTCTTGAAGTCAACAGAATGTGTCTGCTAAGTCCCAGTACTCTCTTTACCTCCTCTTCCACTAGTTATTAATTACTACTCACAATTCAGAGTAGAAAATCTGCTTCCGGCAACCACCTAGACATCTGAAGTCCCCAGTCACCATTATACTTTATCTCTGCAGATTTTATAGACTGAATTAGCAAGGCACATCTTCCAAACTGTCCTGCAGGTCCATTATATACTACCAAAACAATGACTTCTTTTCATTTAAGTTTTATGACTCCTCAAATCACTCTACTATTGTAGACAACCCTCAAGGTTGCACATTTTTATAAATATTATGTTCTTTCTTTTCCTTGTCCCCCTTGATAGGCCATTTCTTTTTAATAAAGTATGCGATCTGTTGCTAATATTCCAAACACAAAATCCACCTAAATTTGATGGATCACATTTACAGTCACAATCTGTGTCCTTTCAAAACTCTTCTACCTTTATGTAACTTAAAATTAATGTGACAAGGTAATATATAGACAGCAAATGAGAGGTAATAGAACCAAAACTCACGGTATCTAGAATTACTGAAAAGAACTTCTCTTTTGTTGTTTATTTGGCTTTTTTAAAACTCAAGACGGTCTTATGGAAAAGAATAAGTCATAATAAGTATTGTATACCAATTATGAAAAAATTACAAGAAGTTTATTCTGAGTAAATTATCTAAAATTATGTGATCTCCTCCAACATATCATGAAATAGTCCACTGAAAGATAAACTTAAAAGAAAAAAGTACAGGTATCAGCCAAAATACTAAGTAACTAATCAGGGGTACTCTGACACATGCCTGAAGAAACCAATGCCAGAAAACAAAGGCTTCTGTAAAATCTTTAAAAAATCACAGGAACACTACAAAACCCTGAAAACTAGTGACACTCATTATTGAAAACAAAGCCCAATCATTATGACTATTACTCTATCCTTTTTTTTTTTTTTTTTTTGAGACGGAGTTTAGCTCTTGTTGCCCAGGCTGGAGCACAATGGCGCCGTCTTGTCTCACTGCAACCTCCGCCTCCCATGTTCAAGCGATTTTCCTGCCTCAGTCTCCCAAGTAGCTGGGATCACAGGCATATGCCACCATGCCCGGCTAATTTTGCATTTTTAGTAGAGACTGGGTTTCTCCATGTTGGTCAGGCTGGTCTCAAACTCCTGACCTCAGGTGATCCGCGTGTCTCAGCCTCCCAAATATTACACTATCTTTCAAAACTAAAGGTTGTTCAGCCAGATATTGATGATAACCCACTCAATAATTTCGTAACGACTGCCAGGGTGATTTGCAGAAGTTCCCTGTAATGGTTTTTACTTTCTTGCTTTGCTAAAATGTGAAGATGGTATGCAAACCTTTTTGAATTAAAAGTTGCTTAAACATAAAGTAACATTTTTCTAGCAAACTACTTAAAAGGAAAACTGTCACTATGTCAAATCAATTTTACAGGCAGTTAATTTAAGTAAACACAGTAAATATCAATAGTCCTGTTTATCATAAGTAGAGACTTTCCCATTTACCATTTCTCTCCCCAGGACAAATTAAAATAGTTCTTACCTAATTCATAGAGATGCCCATCTACATGAACTAATGCAATAAAATGAAGATCTACTTTTTCATCTATATTTGGTGCCTGGAATAGGAGGGAAAAAATAGGTATTATATACATTAGTAGTCAAACAAATCAGTCATGTATATATAAACACATACAAATAACATCAAGTTATAAAAGAGAACATTTATCCAATATAATTCAAGGCTTAATGTTTGGTATAATGGACAAAGAGGGACCATGCCTGTGTTTGCAACAATGTGCTCATTTATCAGCAAGGAAAACAGTGACTAAAAGTACAACTTTCTTAATCTCAACTATCTAAAAACCAAAAATTGTGTTCACCTTAGAAGCCTCAGCATTTAGCACAATGCCTGGTATACAGCATATGCACAATGCATACTTATTGAATGAAATGAATACATGAACTGATATGTATGAGTTTTTAAAATCTGAAATAAGAAAGTTAAAATATTTTTACGCCTAACAGTTTAAAGAAACCCTTTTCGAGTTAAATTTTAAGATGTCAAAAGAGATGTTCCCTTAAAGACTTGAACTCGATAATCTGATGTTTTAACAGTGCAGTGTAAACAGTCTTTGCGTAAAAGAAGCATTTTAACTCACTCTAGATTTTAAACGTTTAAAAATGAATACATGCAGGAAAATAGCCCAGGCGATTAAAAGGAAGGGAAAAAAGAACAAATTAAAGTACAATTCACAGTAGCCTACGATTTTTCTCTTGCTTTGATGCTTAATAAACAATTTGAAATTAAGACTACATCTACGTTTCTTTAGCTTACCAATCAATTTGCCTGAGAAATATCTACATTTCTAAGGCATTCAAATAACATACACAAAGTCGATACATTGATTAACTGGCACTTTCTATGATATGTAGTAACTATACAGCTAATATTAATATGAGTTAGCTATACATCAAATCTAAATGGTTTGAAATGAAATACAATCACTGTTAAATATGCAAGTAGAGCACAAATTTTAAAGGAAAGTTTTCAAAAGGCATAAATCAAATTATATCTCAGATTACTTAATATCCTTGCAGTAACAGATAGTATCTTAACTAAAAAATTATATTCTTTTCATCCTCAAGTAACTATATATTTTCAAGTAGTTGTAATATAAAGTTTTCTGATGCAGATATTGAAAGGTACAGAATAAATATTACTATCTTGGATTTACAGAATGTTTCTAAAATATTTATATATACAGTGTCTCACCTAATCTCACATTATTCTTCAGAGGTTATTTCCCTCAAATTATGAATGGAAGAAATTCAACATAAACTGATGTGGCAAGCCAGTTCTTCTAGCGTCACTCTAGAACTACAGAATTCCACAGGTGTTAGCAATCAGGGTTATCTAGTTTTACTGTTGCTCCAATACTGCACTTCTCCATCTTGTGGTAGCCCCTCTAATTGTTGCTTCAACACCACATAGCCCCATCTTGTGGTAGCCCCTCTAATGTCAGAGGCTCTTCCACTAGGTTTTGAGGCAGTCTATTTCATTGTTAGACAGTTTTGTTAGAATTTTCCCTCATACTGAGGCTAAATATGTCTCCTTGTATTTTCCATCATCTTAGAAAAAAGTCTAATCCCTCCTGAACATATTTCTTCAAATATGTGAAGACAGTGATAATGAGTTCCCTTACTTTCCTGGTCAGGGAATCAAAAAATATTAGTGGCCACACAATCTAATATCTCCACTTATAAATAATCAGAAGAGAAACCAATTTTTCAAGTCTAAACCTAGGCAATTATATAAACCGTAACTTTAATTCTATAACAAAAAGGTTATAATGAATTATTCATTCAACTAGAAAACAGTCTTGTCTTTACTCATTTTAAGACAATTTTCCAACAGGATATGAAATACTCTAAATCTTACAAACTTTATGCTTTCATAAATTATTAGTTACCTTAATACCATCTCTTCTTAAGAATTACACATCTTATAGCTTCTATGTTTCATATTGTGCCAGTAACTACAACCATGCTAGAGGTAAAAGTAGTACAACTGGAGTCAGAGAACTGAATATGGACCCAATCCCTGTAAGCCTCGGGTTTCTTATCCATCTCAAGGTTTAAATGAGCTGCATGAACGTATTTTGTAAACTGTTAAGTGTTATATAAACCTTATATATTACTCCAATAATAATACTACAGTATCGCAAATGTAAGCAATTACCAAATGTAGTGACTCAAAATTGTGCATCATTGTACCTTTAACCTAAAAGTGCATACTAAAAATATAAAATTCTAAAGAGGACACGAAAAGCCTTCAAACTATTATAAAAGATAAGCAAAGCTCAAAACTTCTAAGCCTTCCACAAAACCTCAGAACCTGTCATAAGCCTTTTCCTTCGGTCAGCTTCAATTAGTCTCAGAGTCTAAAAATCTGTAATTATTTAATTGCTTAAAATTATTCCACTAAAAACAAGAAAAATAAATAAAAAGCAACTTTCAGCAAGTCTTGTTTCAAAAAATGACCAAGAAATAACTATGTGAAGGGCAAAAAAAAAAAAAAAAAAAAAAAGCTATAGATTGGATTTTTTTTTCCTTCATATATCCGTATATATGAAGGAAAAATTAAAATTCCTCTTTACATCCAACCACCACTTTGGCTTTGAAGCTGCCTCCTGATATTGACACTTCAAAGATGTGGTATGACTATTCTTATATGTCTCTATCTACTGATGAGGATCCCACTCTTTTAGTATAAACAGTACCACTGACTTCCAATCAATTAGTTTTGATACATATAATCCCTAATTTAGAATGCAACACTTCTTAGTTAACTCAAAGAATTAAAAAGTGATAACAAATCAATTAGATATAAGTTAAATACTAAATATAAACATCACATTAAAATACACACTAAATTTAATGCATAATTGTATAGCACTTAATATATACCAGGCACTGTTCTAAATGTTTTATATGTATCAAATAATTAATCATCATATTGGTTGAGCATCCCAAATCCAAAAATCTGAAATCTGAAATGCTCCAAAACTCCAAACTTTTTGAGCACCAACAGGATGTTCAAAGGAAATGCTAACTGCAGCATTGTGGATTTCAAATTTTCTGGCTTGAGATACTCAACCAGGTAAGTCTAATATAAATAATCCAACCAAAATCCAAAACACTTCTCATCCCAAGCATTTTGGATAAGACATACTCAACCTGTATAAACCCAATAAGGTACATAATATGATTATGCCCATCTTACTCTCGGGAAAACTGAGGCACAGAAGCATTAAGTAACATGCTCTAGGTCATATAGCTAGTAAGTGGTAGAATATGGATTCAAACCCAGGCAGTGTGCTTCTAGAATCTATGTTATTTACTACTATGCTATGAAAATATTCAAAGCTATAAGGCAATGGAATTAATATGGAGCCAAGATCAACATTATATAAAAGCATATAAAACAGGAAATGCCAAATTTTATATGTTCATTTATATTTGGAACATTTTTAAGTAGAAAAGAAATAATTCACATTAGAATTAGATCAACTGTGCTCGTGTCAGAATTTACACCTTTAGGATTCTACCCTGTCATCTAATTCACCTTGTATCTCTCACTGTGCCAAATGGCGTATGGCACGGTAGAGAAGCAACAAATATCAAATGGATGAATGAATAAAAATGAAGAATGTCATGACCCAATGAGGATAGTGAAACAGAAAGAGAGAAATGCCAGTTTGTTGATACTCCGTACAAATGGAGAAGTATTTGATGATCATACTGGTATTTGGTGGAAGCAAATATTTAAGGAAAGATACCACTTCACGGTTTGAGTACAGCACTAGAAGGGTAAGTAAGGGGAAGGAAAGAATGCTTGACATTGACTTTTAATTGTTCTTAAGCATTAAATGTATGTGTAGTCAGACTTCCTCCTCTGGCTTCAAAAGCCATCATGATTTATAGAAATGTCAAATTTCTTATAAATGTATGGCACACACCAAAGTTTTAAGATACTGCATTTCTAGGGAGGCTCTGCTAAACCACAGTCATTGCCTTTAGTAGTCCAAAACATTAGAAAGACAAGAGCTATAGTTGCTTAATTCTGTAGTGTATCATAGCTAGAATTCCATCATCGGTCTCGACACTTAAGATAATTAGTAACATTATAAGAAAAATGTATTTTTAATAGTTTGTGGATATCATTAGCCTATAAAAGAGAAATCATAAATTTGTGGGAAGCTTACGTCAATACACAAGGAGGAAATCTTCATTTCCTACTTGGAAAAGATCTTTAGAAATTGAATAGGCAGGAAAGATCAGATCAAGATTAAACCAAGTACCTGAGCCACCTCAGGGAATAAAATAATAGCTTAGATGAAACACCCTACACCATGAAGGATTTAGGTTGAGAATAGAGTAAGCAAAGTAATCCCAGAGCATGGCAAGAGACTAAAGTCATGCTCAGAAACATTAAAAAAAAAAAAAAAAGTAATAGCTGGCAAAGAACTCAGAAGGTACACAGCATTTGTTGACCTGAGTCAACTAAATGATTTCAGAAAGCTGAAGGGTAAGAGAACCCATATTCACTTTAACAATTAACCAGACTTCAACATTATCACGAACATGGATCAGTACTCATCAAAAGGCAGGCGCCACTATGTTGGCAGGATATGGAGTGGAAAGATGGATGTTGCAGGCACTGGCAAAAGTCAAGCTAGACTGCAAAGCATAGAGGTATGCTTGCAATCTTATTGGGGGAGAAAAAAGCTAATGGTTGAGTGAACCAAGAGAAAAGCACTCTGAAGACTGAAGTTGTTTAAGGAAAAAAAAAAAAAAAGGACAGCCCTTGTCACTGGAGAAGAGATGGAAGATTGACTAAACTTACAACAGAATGGAGACCCAAAGATGGTAGGCGTAAGAAGGGTCGCCAGCGACGAAGACGGAGAGATGGACTGGTAGCCTTTGCAGGGCCTACATGGTAACGTTTGACCCAGGGCAGGGATGCATGGTGACACAATGATGAGGCCTTCGTTCTGCAGTGGCTAGAATGAGGCTGTGATGAGGATGGCGAGGAGGACTACATAATTAAAAAAGAGAATATTTTACTTAGACCACGTTACTGGGTGATCATTTATTCTTAAAAGCAACGTATGGTCATGCTTGTAATTCATATGGTCTACTAGTTTTAATAACCATAATCTAGCAAAGGATCATATATGAATATTGGTTAAAAGCAGGTAAAGTGGAAATATATAACCAAGTATCAGGTTATATGCCATAGTTCTATAAGTGTACATTGGAAATATTCACATAGCCTCATTTGCATAGCACAGACTCATGGAAATTAATACTTAAAAGCCACTAAAATTATTACATCAAATTGTTTTTAAAAAGTAACACACACACAAAAACTAGGTAATGCATATAAAATGTACAAAGAATAATGGGTAGAAGAAAACTGTATGGTGATAGGCATTGGTAAAAAAGAATTCCTTAAAAGGAATAAGCTCCAAGAAGGAAAAAAAAAAAACAACTTTAAAATATAAACAAGAGTGAAATTAATCCCTCCAAAGCTGACGACCTGAATAAACTATCCTCCTACTTAGGCTGATATGTTACATGGAAAACATCATGGCCTCTTAGCTATCTTTTAGGAAATGATATCATTAAATAAAATACACATCTTTTTTATGTCAGGTGCTTTTTAAGGACTTAACATATATCAGTTCATTTAACCTCCCAATAACCCACAAGCACAACTATTCCTGTTATACAAGTGAGGAATCAGAGCACAAATGGGTTAAGTAACATAACTAAGGTCACATTGCCAGCAGGTAACAGAACTGGGATTCAAACCCAGGAAATCAGGTTCTAGAGTCCAATGATCTTAATCACTGTGGTGTGTAGCCGAAGTGACCAAGAAAAATATGTTATTGCTAAATGGAACAGATAGTGTTAAGGAGAGAAACCATTCTGATAAGGTTAGGGTATTTTGGGAATCACCTTTTCAAACACTATTGTACCACAAAAGGCAAATCTAGCCAAGAGTTTTCTACAAAATATACAAGGATATAACATAATAGTAGTAATCCAAATGATTTCATAATTGTCACATTCGATTAATAACACCAGTATATAAAATAAAAAATTTGAGGGAGTATGACAAAATTACAATCACTATAATCATAGTGAGAAGAAATAAAAAGAATGGTAATATAAATCCTCACTTGGTGATAATAGATTTTGCTAACCATAACAAGCATAATAGATTTCTCTTAAGGAAAATGAGTTTTACTTTCCGAATGATTTTTAAAACTCTTTTCAACTCTGAAAATTCTCTAATCCTACTTAGTATCCTCAATCTAAATAAACAATATACTAACCTTAAAAAAAAGCTATCATTTTGATGGGGGTTTAAAAAATATGTTCGAACATTTTAGCTGCTCGTAATAAGCATCAGTCAATCAAAAATACATAAATGAATTCTATACTTGGTTCTACATGGGAACAAAAGTGTATATGATAGTGTCTCCTCTCACAGACATAATTTAATCAGAAATTAATTAGTAATATTACTAAACCAGAGTTGTACAGTGAAAGAATATATAAAGTTGGGATGGGTGAAATAGGAAAATATTCTTGGCAAAGAATTCAATGTGAGAAAAAGAACAGAAATAGAAATAAGAAAGACATGTTTAGAAGAGTAATGTGTCAGGTCTGAAATTTGAGTTTATTCTTTCAATTTAATAAGTTAGCCTCTTACTTTTTCATGGGTATTGGCAAAAGGCATGAGACGCCTGGGTCAAAGAAAAAAAAAAAAAACAACTTTATTACTCATAGCACAGCAAGGAGCATGATCATCAATACGTTTGTGCCAATTCACATGAGAACAACAGACATAGCTAGGGTGGATGGTTGCAAAAGAGTAGGCTGCGTTACAGGAGAGGAACACTGAGCTGGGGAAACCACTGGTTTACAGCAAGCAGTAAGCAAACAGGCTCTTTGTTCCGGAGGCAAAGACATTACCTCATCCCTTAAGGTTGCTTACTCCAAACACACCTGTGAGAAATGTGATTTCCACCTTCAAGTATGATGACCCTCTTCTTTTGTCATTTTTGAAGAACCTTTTTGAAAACTTTTTTTAAAAAAAAATTTCAAATTTACACAGTTACAAAAACAAGCATAATACAGGAAACACCTAGATTTGACTATGACATTTTACCTTCATTTGCTTTATTATCTCTTTACCTTTTTCTACATAACTTTTTTTCCTGAATCATTTGAAGATAAGTTACATACATCATGGCCCGTTAATCCTAAATTCTTCAGTATTTCCTAGGACTAAGGGAATTATCTAACATTAATATCAGTGCAGTTATCACCCTCAAAATTTTATATTGATATACTTTCTCCTCATCTCCCATATTTTAATTTTGCCAGTTATCTAGTTGTGTAATTTACAGCATTTTCCCCTAGGATCTAATCTAAGCACAGATATTAAATTTATTCATCATGTCTCCTTAGTATCTTTTAACCTGGAACATTTCTAACAATCTTTATCTTTTATATTTTAAGCATCAAGCCCTTCTCCATTTTTCAATAAATCATTTTCTATTTAAAAAGTCATGCTCTCTGTGACTAGAGACTGCTTTACTTCTTCCTTTTTAAACAATATTCCCTTTATTTCCTTTACTTGCCCTACTATATTGGCTAGGACCTCTACTACAGTAATGAATTTCATTGACTTCTGCTTTTATCTTGGTTATTTCTACCTTTTACGCACTTCGGATTTAACCTGCTCTTCTTTTGCTACCTTAAGGTAAAAACGTAGATCTCTGACTTGAAGCCATTTCCCTTTTCTACTATAAGCATGTAATACTATAGTTTCCCTAACCCGTTTTTTTTTTTTTTTTCTACTATAAGCATTTAATGCTATAGATTTCTCTCCAACCCCTGCATTAGCTGTATCCTGTCAATTTTGGTATACTTCTTTTTAGTCAATTCAAAATGTTTTCTAATTTCTCTTGTGAAATCCTCTTTGATCCATGAGTTATTTAGAAGTGTACTATTTAATATCTAAATATTTCGGGGATTTTCCAGGTATTTTTCTGTTGTTGATTCGTAGTTTAACTCCACTATGAATAGAAAACATTCTTTGTATAATTTAAAATTTTTTTTAAAATTTAAAGTTGATTTTCTAATCCAGAATATGGTCTATCCTGGTAACTATTCCATGTGCACTTGAGAAGACTGTATATTCAACTATTCTGTTCCAAATTTCTGAAGTGTTCCACAAATATCAAAAGGGTCAAGTTATTTGACAATGTTGCTGAAATCTTCAATTTTTTACTAATGTTCTGTATTTGTTTTATTCATTCTGAGTGTTGATATCTCCATCTATAATTGTGAATTTGTCTGTTTCTCTCTTCAGTTCTAACAGTGTTTGCCTCATACATTTAGAGGTTCTAACTGTTAGCTGCATACACATACTTTCTGTTATGTGTATGCTATGTCTTCTTGGTGAGGTAACCTCTTTATCCTTACATAATGTCCTTCTTCATCACTGGAAATATTCCTTGTTCTGAAGTCTACTTAACTTCATGTCAATATAACTACTGTGGCTTTCTTTTGATTAGTGTTTGTATTGTTCATCTTTTCCCATCCTTTTGATTGTCACCTTCTTATGTTTTTTAAAGTGACTTTCTTGTAAACAGCATGTAATTGTGTCTTGCTTTTTTACCAAACTGGTCTTTCTTTCAATTTGAGGGTTTATAGACATTTGAGTCTTTATATTGACATTTCATTAACTTCATGTGATGTTTTATATGGCTGGATTTAAATCAACATTGTCAGTTCTTTATTTTTTCCATCTGGTCTGTTACTTTTCTGCTTTTTGCATTATTTCTATCATTCTATTTTATCTGTACTGTGGGCTTCTTGTTTATACTTTTTAAGCTTTTCAGTAATTGCCCCAGGATTTACAAGATATACCTTTAGTTATGGAGTACCTTCAAATAGTATTACACCACAACATATATAGTATAAGAACCTCACAACAGTATTATCCCAATTTCTCCCTCCCTTCCTTTGTGCTACTGTCTTATTTTATATGTGCTACAAATTTATAGTACATAGTTGCTATCTTTGATTTAGTAATCCTAATCATCTTCTAGAGAAATTTAAAACAAGAATAAAATGTATTTTATATTTACCTTCATTTGTTCCATTTTCAGTGCTTCCCAAATCTTTGTATAGCTCCAAGTTTCCATCTGGCATTGTACTGTTTCAGCATAATGAAATTCCTTTACATTTCTTATAGTGCAAGTAAGCTGGTGATGAGCTCTCTCAGTTTTTGTTTCTCTCAAAGTTTTTATTGTTAAAATATATTTTTGTTCCATTGAACTCTTAGCTTTCTAAAAATATCATTCTTTTCTGGCTTGCATAACTTCTAGTAAAGAGTCTGCTGTAATTCTCATGAATTCTTAGTATCTACTCTGTCTTTATCATGTGGCTGCCTTGAACATTTTCCATTTATCTTTGTTCTTCAGCAACACTTTCCATTTATTTTTGAATTTTAATGTGTCTCAGCGGTTATATGTGTGTGTTTGTTTTTTTGGAGGATAAAGGTATTCATCCTATCTAGTGTCTCTGAGATTCCTGAAGCTGTGGTTTGATGTCTTTAATTACTTTTGGAAAATAGTTGCCATTACCCTTCAAATACTTTTTGTCTCAAGGCCCCACCCCTCACCCACTCCCACCCCCATCATATCTTTCCATCTCTCTTCTCCTTCTGGGATTCCACTTTCACATATTACATCACTTGAAATTGTCCCACAGCGTTTGGATGCACTGTTTGTTTTGTGTGGTTTTTCTCCCCCTCTTTTCCACTACTTTTTCCCCTTTGTGGGTAAGTTTGGGTAATTTCCAGTGATTTATCTTCACAGTCACCAATTCTTTTGTCAACTTTGTTGAGTCTACTGGTGAATCTGTTAATGGCATTCTTCATCTCTAGTACTGTGTTTTTCATTACTGGCATTTCCCTTTGATTCTTTCTTATGTTAATAGTTTCCAATTCTG